TTTTTGCGATGGATTTTGTGACAAATTTACCATGAAAAATATTCTATGTATAGCATATTTCTTCATAAATTTTGTGATCAATTTGTGAATAAGCATTTTGATAAATTTTCGCATGAAGAAAATCATTTGTTTTTGCTTTTCTATAAATAAATATATTTTTTATAGCAAGAGGTTTAAGTTGCCTGTACATTAATTTACCTAGTTTAGAAAGACGTATATAAAAGAAGAGTAGAGAAAAAATTAGTATATAATTTTCATGGGACTTTTTCCCAAAAAAAAAGCCTATAATTTATGCAAAAAAAAAAAACTAACTTCTATAAAAAGATTTTTGGATCCAAAATCTGAGTGTATCACACAAATTTTGCCGAGTCTTCTTATGTGCCAAAACGGTTCCCGGTTGATATAAATACAACTGCTATGTATGTTTTTGTTTATACGTTTTGTGCTCAAGGTGTATCCCATTTCATTTATCTCGGGCTAAAATGCTCGGCTTGTCTAAATTTTCCCGTAATTTAATATGCATGCCAAAAACTCTTTAATTCTTCGTCAAATTAATGTGTACACGCACACACACTGTTAATTAGTCTTGAGAAAGAGAGACCTGGTCAGACTGAAAAAAAAAAAAAAAAGTTGACCACTTCGTCGCCACTCGGGGGTGTTTTTCTTGACCAAATCAATTGAATTTCTCTGACAAATTAATCTCAAACTTTGTTAATTAGATGCGGTTTTATTTATCAAGTTAACAGTATTTGATGTTTCCTGAAGAACCTCTGACGAGATCAATATTTGGCAATCGATATTAGGTTAGGTATAACCACGAAAAGTAGACAAGTCGATCTCTTGTGGTTGCCAGAGAAGCCGAATGCAATAAGCAATTATGCTTTCTTAGAGACTAGGTATACTCATGCCTGCAAGTTAATGCAAACATTTTTTAAATTAAAAGGAGCCCTTTGATTTCGGTGCATGTTCTTTACTCTTCTCCATTAATGAACACTTTACAAGAAACAACAAGCGACGACAAAAGCCAGACGTGTTGATGTTTTTGTTTTTCTTCTATAGACCAAGAAATTGACTAGAGCCACCCTCTCATTATTTAATTATTATCATCACATCATCTTCATTCCTAACATCATCTTTCTACAGAAGTCAAGTGTCAAATGTTATTAACTAATAGAAACGATTAATCAGGCAGGTAAATGCCAAGAATTATTACTGTATGGTATACCTTTAAAGTTTTCTTTGCATTAAGATATTGAAAAGTCGAAGCAGGGAATGTTCGTACGTATCTCAAGTGATTGGGTAATTCGGCACACATGCATTTGAATTAAGATTCTGTAGATTTGGTGAGACCAGGAAAGTGGCTATATTATGAGTCTTATATGTCAGATGAAGTGAAATTTGTAAATTTAAAAGGTTGTCCCGATCAATAAGCTGGTTTTTTTGGGACTTGTGTTTATGATATTAATACTTTCATTATAATTTGCAAAACCTAAAAAAGGTTCTAACTAACAAGAAGTCGAAATGTTATGAGAGGTAGAGCTGCAGCTGCTTCTGGGATATAGAGTCACTAGGGACTATAACTCTTGAATGGAAATGTATTGTTTTTAGTCTTATATTCAGAGGTGTCACAAGCGAAATGAAGTTCATAAAATTCAAGCAACTTTCTTTTCGTCAACTTGTCCATCAATTCTCAACTTCATGCATGCTTGCCCAGAAGGTGGGACAAGAGCTTTTTAAATTCCCTTTTCAATTATTCATCCAAAGCATGTGACTCAGCCTTGAACAATTAACCAAGATCATTTGTTTCGTTTCACAGACAATACTGAATGCATGAGACTCAGAATTGATAAATTGAAGGGAAAATGATCAGTATCAGAGAAGGTCTTATACATGATTAATATCTTAAAAGGAAGCTAGCAGCAGTGAAAATTACGGAAGCAGATGAGTAAATACATAAATCTATTAATTGCATCACATGCGACGAACATTACTATATTGTGTAAAGATGGAATCAGTGTTGGAGGATGTAAATGGATGACAGGAAAAGGTCATGATCATGTGGTAGGGTTTCGGGCGCACAATTCAAAGCTGGGTCAGGACAGCTTCTGCTGGGTCACCGACCTCAATAAAAGATACGAGAAATGAGGGGCTAAGGTAGGTGAACAGTTGACCATTGAAGAAAACCGCAAACTGCTTGCTGCCCCTCACCGTCTTTCCCTTGAATATCTTTGTTTAATCAATACCATCGTGTTTTCATTCAGGTTTCCTCTTCGTCTAGCACGAACCAAATTCAGATCATAAATATTAAACACCCTGCTTTTACATAGTTTTCTATTTAATATTGTCGAATTTTAACAAACACACATTATATATGGATGTATTATCTCGTTTTTTTCCCCTTAAATTAGCTTCTATATATGTTCTCGGCTCGTTCTAATCTTTCATAAGTGAGAACAAGTGATAAAATCTATATATATACAACACATAAATGTAATGGATTTTGTCATACATACGTGTGTGTTGGTGTAATGGTTGTGCAGATTTTTAATTATATTATCACGGTGCTTATTGTTTGAAATTCTCCTTCCGTTTTAAATTATAAAATACTTTTAAATAAAATCTTACATATCAATAAGGTTTATTAAATACATTTTACAACCTTACTTTTTCAAAATAAAAATATAAACTTTTAAAAATACTCTTCAGTTAATATTTATTCGTAAAAAATGTTAAAAAAAGAGAATATATGATAAGAGTAATATTGAAAAAATATCATTAATAAAATTTTATTTTTGTCAAAGTGTCTTATATTTTAAAATGTTAAACCTTTTTTAAAAGTGTCTTATAATTTGAGATAGAGAGAGTATAATTTATTACACCAGCATTACATCATTATACTAATACATGTTTCCGTACATATATACATATGCATGTATTATATACTCCCTCCACTCAAAATTATAAGACAATTTTCAAGATATGTTGTGTTTACAAATACAAGCCATGCGTTTTGATATATTTTTTAAAACAATTAACTGGTTTAAAAAAAAAAAAGGTCTCATCAATGAATATTTGAAAATAATGAGATTTTTTATATTTATTCTTGATGAAGTTACCCTATTCAATAAAGATAGAGTGCAGACATAAAAAGAGCAAGTAATTTTTAATGATGTTGATTATTTTTTAATATAAAATTTAGTTAAAAGAGCGTTGTAATTTTAAATAAGAAGAGGCTGCGCGCACGCATTGCATGCTTTAAAGGAGTTGGATAACATGAGAGCAGTTAGTTGACATTGCTAAAATAAGGAGTAGGGGTAAGAGTTGAAATAGAATAAGCTTTAATAGGGCTACATATATCCTGATCTATTTCAAACCCAACTCAACTTATTTATTAAATAGATTCAGATTTAAGCTTTTAATTAAATTTATTCAGTTAAATAAATTAGGTCTATTATTTTAAAGTTTAACCTATGAGTCTAACAAGCCGACTTATATATATATATTATGTAATATATCACAAACACATTAATTTTACCATTTTATTTTTAATCAATTTATTCTTTTTATTAATTTTTAGTCATATTTTTAATTATATTAGGTGTATATATTAATTTTAATGTTTTTATTTTATTATTATATTATATTATAGTTGATAAATCTTTTTAATTATTATAATTATAATTAATGAATCAAATTTATATTGCATGGTATAATAGTCCTTAAGTGTACTTGAAATGTTTAGCCTTTTAAATAGGCTTTTAAATTAGGTCAGAGTTTAAATAGACTTAAGCCTAAACTATAAAAAAAATTTTATATAGAGTTCAAGTTAAACTCAAATTTTTAATTTATCATATAAATTTAAGCTCATTTAATTAAAATTTAACTCAGATTAACATATTTTCATTCTTAGTAGGAGCTATATTGGGAGGTATATGGCCGCATGAGTGGGTGCGCGACTATGCTAGGCTCAACCACCTATGATCAGACACCCGCAAGCAGATGATGCGCGGGAATACTGCTCTTGGCTTTCGACATATGCCTTATATGAATTCCTTTATTAAAAAATATAAAATATTTTTTAAAAAATTAAATGTTAAAAAATATAAAATTTTTTAATCTTTTATAGTATAATTATTACTTTTTAAAAAAAGTATTTTTATTGATAATAATTTTATATTTATTGTAGAGTATTTAATAGGGATAAATATGAAAAAATAAGGTTAGTTAAAAAATAAGTAACTATTTTATTAGAGAGTAAGATTCAATTAAAAATATTTTATATTTTTAAATGAAAGAAGTAATAGTTAGCGTGGGCCAACGCACATATACATAAGAAAATAATTTCATCTATTATGACATCACTGCAATCATACAACTAGTAAGAATATTTTAGACGTGATACGATTTGTGAATAATATGGCTCCAAGATATTTTCGTATTAATTATTATTATATTACTAATTAATACTCCTTTTATTTTTATATATAAGGTATTTTTAACTAAATCACACATATTACTTAATTAAAATGATATTAAATTACAATAATTTTTTAATTTTACTCCAATAATATCAGTTAATATCATGATCGTGGTGGTTAAAACACATAATTAATATCTTTTTTATTTTTTAAGATGAGGATAAAATTATTTAATTACTCAAAAATATCATGATTCCCACTATATTCAAGGACATAATAAATTTTTAGAAAATATCCTAGTATGGAAGGAGTAATGGTGATAAATGAGGAATAGTTTACTACGAAAGCACCGAAACTTGATTCATTGGTAAGCGCGCGGGATGGGTAGTGGGGTTGTGTTGCATTCACACCTCCGACGATTACGAGAGTTGGGACCGAAATGTTTTTTATTTTTGACATATTGCGTGCACTGCATGTTATACAATTTTAATAATCGTTCCTTCTCATTTGACCTCTTCTCTGCGTAGCAATATTCCCATATAAATATGACATATCGGCGTTATGTTTCCCTCACACCAAGCTAGCCCACCACATTGAATTTCTCACAGCATTATCAGTTCAGAGCATAATTGCCAATGGAGTTAGACAGCATGCTCCACTTCCTTCAGGACAAGACCATTTTAGTGACCGGTGCCACTGGCTTTCTCGCCAAAAGTATCGTGTTTATCTCTCTCCTTTGTTACTTTTTCATACTTTGTTTTAATTACTCGCTGCACTGCATGCAGTGTGCTCTGAAGTATATACATATATTGCTTGGTTATCTCATGATGCTGTGTTTATACATATATATATATAATGGTTTTGCAGTTTTTGTGGAGAAGGTACTGAGGGTTCAGCCAAATGTCAAGAAATTATACCTTCTTTTGAGAGCCTCGGATAACATATCTGCCACTCAACGCTTGAACAATGAGGTGATGCCATCTTTTTCTTGTCTTGTGTGTGTGAACTCTTTTTTAGCAAATGTCTGAAGAAGGTTCCTCTATCGCTAATTAAAGAGAACTTCAGATATAGACATAGATTATAGTTATTGACTTTTTGATAACATAATTTAGCTCATAATACAGTTATTATATATATAAGTTTGTGGGTAACTAATATATGCGTGCGATGTGTTTTCCATGTGCAGATCACAGGAACGGAGTTGTTCAAATTGTTGAAGGAAAATCATGGTGCAGAGTTCAATTCCTTTATCGCAAAGAAGTTGGCTCTGGTTCCTGGGGACATCTCTCACGAGGACTTGAATCTGAAGGACACCGTTCTGAGGGAAGAGATTTGCAGTCAAACTGATGTTATAGTAAACTTGGCTGCAACAACTAACTTTGATGAAAGGTCAGCGCGCGCGCGCGCGCGCGCGTGTCATATTTGAAATCATAATTTTGTACAACCATATTTTCGTTTCTTTTTTGGTGGGGAAACCATATTTGCGTCGCGCGTAGTAATATCATTATACAACAGAACTAAATTAATTTCTTTATGACTAGACATTCTAGTTTCATGTCCATTTTGTTAATATATTCTTAATTGCAGATACGATGTTGCACTGGGTATAAATACCTTGGGAGCTAAGCATGTTTTGAGCTTCGCCAAAAAATGTACTAAACTGAAGTTGCTTGTCCACGTCTCAACAGGTCGGTATATTTCGTCTATAGCACTGATAATTAACTTCTTTGATACACTCCCTTCTCATTTAGTTTTCACTGTGATGGGAAAGGGATATGTCTACTTCCCATCACATCAAGGATTATATTGTTTTTTATTTTACTCAAAGGCGTAATATTAACAAATAAAATGATAAATGGTAAACACCTTGTAATTGGAAGCGGTAAGAAAGTCCAAATAGAAATGAGAGCATGGGCTAGAATTATTGACCGAAAGAAAGTATGGCTTGGGATTAATGAGAGAGAGAGAGAGAGAGAGAGAGATGAACTATCAGCTATGTGCACATGCACCCACACTGGAATATATAAGGATATTTTTTGCCTGAATATATTGTAATATCTATTGATATTTTGCTGACAAGACATTATTGGGCATATTTCAATGAATTGAAGCATATGTATCTGGGGAGAAAAGAGGACTGATAGCAGAGGATCCGTATAGAATGGGAGCATCACTGAATGGAGTGTTGGGACTAGACATTGACGCTGAGAAGAAGTTGGTAGAAGAAATTCTGAAACAGCTTCAAGAGGAGGGAGCCACAGAATGTGAAATTAAAGGTGCCATGAAAGACTGGGGTATTAAAAGGTTTCTTCTCCCCCACCCCTCATGCAACTACTCTAATTTATATAGGTTTTGTAAAAATTTTCTCTTGAATAAAAAAATATAAAACGAGACTTTGATTAATATGTTTGGCCGTGACTGATATTATCAGGGCAAATACATATGGATGGCCAAACACATACGTGTTTACAAAGGCATTGGGAGAAATGATTATTGGAACAATGAAGGGAAACCTGCCTGTTGTCATCGTACGTCCCACCATCGTTACCAGCACCTACAAGGAACCTTTTCCTGGTTGGGTTGAAGGTGTAAGGTGTGTGTTTGTGTGGGTAATATATAAGTCACCACATTATAACTGGTTCAGAAATAATTTAAACACATAACATAGCCCAAATTGTTCTTACGTACATTGGACTTGAATTAATTACAGAACTATAGACAGCTTGATTGTTGCATATGGCAAAGGAAAATTAACTTGTTTTCCAGCAGACATCGAAGCAGTTTTTGACGCGGTGAGACTCTGAATAAATCCTTCCATATCTTCCCCATTCTTTCTTTTACCCATGTAAATTAATGTAACTATATGTGGGATTTATAGTTGCACGAAATTTTAAAAATAAAAAAACTATGATAACTTGAGAATATGTAGCAGAGCTTGTCAAAGTATTTATATTTTATGGTGATTGATATTGAAGGATAAATGGAAAAATTAATTATGGAGAGTTCATTGAAGCAGATACCAGCTGACATGGTGGTGAATACTATGTTAGTGGCGATGGTGGCTCATGCGAACCAGGCAGATGATATAATATATCACGTGGGTTCCTCAGTGAGAAATCCCGTGAGATACTTCAATCTCAGAGACTACGGCGTGAGATACTTCACATCAAAGCCACTGAGGAACAAGGATGGGAAGATTGTCAAGGTTGGCAACGTCACTGTATTGAACAGCATGGATAGCTTCCGCACATACATGTTCATCCGCTACATGCTTCTCTTGAAGGTCATTATTAATTTCTCTATTGATGCACCAAAGTCATGTATATAGGTGCAAAAGTTGTTGAATCTTGGAAAAACTTCATTGTAGGGACTAGATCTGGCCAATAAAGCTTTTTGTCAGTACTTCCGGGGGATGTATCTTGACCTGAACAGGAAGATTCAGATTGTGATGCGGTTGGTTGATCTTTACAGGCCCTACCTGTTTTTCAATGGCTTGTGAGTTACTGCACTTAATTAGAAGCTACTGTAAAATTACATAATGCCAATACGTCACGTGTATTGAATTGAGACTTTGACTAATCACTCATTGGCCTGCAGATTTGATAATATGAACACAGAGAAGCTGCGGATTGCGGCGGCACGGGGTGGGGTAGAGATGGACGTGTTCTATTTTGACACGAAGATGATTGACTGGGAGGACTACTTCATGAATATACATATCCCTGGCATCATTAAGTACGTCCTCAAGTGATCATACTTTCAAGTGCAATACTGCATAGCTGGTGTTTTGTGTGATATACTTGTCTGCATTCAAGTCTTTATGAGTGAATTATAGATATTGGTGCGCTAGCGATTCACTCAATGGCAGTGTAACAGTGATAATATTGCAGGTAGCTGGCAAGTGCCCAATTTTTATGAAATTTTCTTCTCGTATGAAATATATCTTTCCCTCTTTTTTTTTCGCACTCTTAAGGCGGCCGTTCTTATTTGTTATTTTTGTAATTGGGTTGCGGAATTGGGGACTGAGATTTTTGCTCTGTTGTTACCGCGACACATGGTTGTGTAAACTGTGAAACGATCTTGATCTTTTAATTTATTTATTTTTATCAGTTTAGCTACGATATTTCTTTATTTGATTGGTTGAATCTTCTCTTTTATCTATCTCAAACGTAAAAGAAGTACTAGTACAATATAGGAAAGAATCTTTTAAATAATTTTTAACTTCGATTATGCAGTCAAAAGAAAATAAAAAACAATATTGAAAAGTTATCCTGATTTATTTTTTTATCTTAGATTATTACGCATTCAAAATAATGATTAAGAATTAAAAATGATTGTCACCTATATATTCTTCTGCCTCTTTGAGAACAAAACATATTTCGGCCAATAAAAGAACAAAAACATGTCAATATATATATATATATATGTATGTATGTATGTATATATAAAGACAGCCACAAGTATCCAAAAGAAAAAGAAAAGAAAATGGAAGACCGTGGCAAGTGATCCATTATGGTTGAATCAAATCTCGTGAAAAAAAAATTTACTGGTAGTTGTACTATTATTAATTATTAATTAACGAAATCCCACGAGCGATTTTAGTAGAGTTTTACAAAAGTCAAGATATTTATTAATAATAATTGACATGTGTAAAATCACTGAAAGCCAAGGACGTGAAATTTGTAATATTGACTGAATTGAATGTACCCACACCCTGACCAGGCAAACAATCAAGTGAATAATTTAGGACCCCAACGATAAGGTATTGAATCAGTACCCTTTTTTTAAAAAAAAAAAAAGAAAAAAAAAACAATATTGAAAAGTTATCCTGATTTATTTTTTTATCTTAGATTATTACGCATTCAAAATAATGATTAAGAATTAAAAATGATTGTCACCTATATATTCTTCTGCCTCTTTGAGAACAAAACATATTTCGGCCAATAAAAGAACAAAAACATGTCAATATATATATATATATATATATATATGTATGTATGTATGTATGTATGTATATATAAAGACAGCCACAAGTATCCAAAAGAAAAAGAAAAGAAAATGGAAGACCATGGCAAGTGATCCATTATGGTTGAATCAAATCTCGTGAAAAAAAAAATTTACTGGTAGTTGTACTATTATTAATTATTAATTAACGAAATCCCACGAGCGATTTTAGTAGAGTTTTACAAAAGTCAAGATATTTATTAATAATAATTGACATGTGTAAAATCACTGAAAGCCAAGGACGTGAAATTTGTAATATTGACTGAATTGAATGTACCCACACCCTGACCAGGCAAACAATCAAGTGAATAATTTAGGACCCCAACGATAAGGTATTGAATCAGTACCCTTTTTTTAAAAAAAAAAAAAAGAAAAAAAAACACTATTCAGCTACATTAGCTTGGAGCGACCAATGCAGTCGGTATACAAAGTCAGATAAATATGTCGGAGGAAGAGTCTGCGCGTATAGGCATATAAAGTCAGACAATTTGGGCTGGCCCACTTACTCGAATTAAATTTAAAATATTTACACATATATTCTTTTTTTAACTATCAAATAATACTCGCACATGTAAAAAAGTTAATACGATCAAACCTCAACCTAACACCTTGGGCTTTCAATTTATTTAAGTTCAAGTACTTAAATTATTAAACATTATTTCATTTTATTTTTTCAGTTAATTTCAATTTTTATTTCAAAAAATTAATATTTTCAATTCTTATTTTATTTTGATATTATTTTATTGATAATAAATAAAGAATTTGGGTGTTTAGGCTAATTTCATTTGAGCTCAACTTAACACGGGCTTATTTAAACCACCAAAATAAGCTCAAAGTATTTTTGAACTCTTAAACTTGACTTTAAAATTTTTTAAATTTATTCAGGCTAGTTTGTTTGGGTTGGCTGAAATTATCACCTCTATATATCTTCAAAGCTTGAGTTAAATCTTCTTCCTACACCTCAGAAAGAGACTGTGGCGGGCATTCCTTCATGGTTCATGCCAAGAAAATGTCTTTAAATAAGCAAACCCAATGCCCACCCTCCCTCCCTCAAATTTTTCAAGAGATAAGAAGATTTGTGTTTGGCTTGGCATTATTTTAGAAAACGAATTATAGGGGGCTTTCCAAAAATGACAAAGCTTGCTAGCTTGAAATCTTGCACAAACTTGTCCTGCATGAGTATTTTTGAAAAGAATTTTAAATTTGTAACATATTCAAGATGCTTAACTAATTTTAATCATATTCTTTACTTTGATGATTCAGTTATTCATCTCTTGTAAAGAAAGAATGGAGGGAATGTACTAATAGGTTTCTAAGAGTGCTCATGCAAAAAATACATAGCCACATCACATGTATGCATGGTATTTTAGATCACCTAGGTGCTTATTGGTAGTATGATAAGGACTATAGCCACGAGGCAGGTGGTTATAAATTATAATGCACTAAAAGTTAAGCATGTCAAAATACTTTTCTTAGGGATGTTTCGTGGAATACATAGTAAGCATTGATTTTGTTAACAAACTCTTAGGTCTTGTTTGGTACAAAGGAATGAGAAAGTAAGACTGGCATTGGCATTAACTAATTCGAAGTTTTTATGTTTGGTATGAGGGAATAAGGATTTTAATTCTAAGCCCAAACCCATCTAAGTGGGATTATTTAATACCACCCACCGCTTAGTACTGAAAAATCAATCCTGGAATTGATTTTTTTTGACAAAAATACCCTCCATCTCTCCTATCTCTGTCATCTCTCCCTTTACCCTCCACCCCTCGCCTCTCACATCTCTGCCACTACCATCTGCCAGCCTCCTACATCATGCTTCCCACAACCAAACACAGGCACAATGATGATGTTGGAACTAGGAAGATGAAGAAGAAAGGCAGCACTGGAACTAGCAGATTTGGAGATATGGAGTTGTGAGCTTGAATCTTTCACCTAAATCTGGATTACTCGTTGGCCACCGTCAACGATGTAGAGACTTGAGTGAAGGACAGTTGCAGTGGTGCCGAGCACAAAAGCGTGGGTGTGAGAGAGAGACTATAGGTGTGAGGAATGAAGCTAAGAATGATGAAGATGGAGCAAATGCAAGTTGAAGCCAAGAAGGAGGAAAATGAGGGTAATTGAGTCTTTTAGTTAGTTCTTGTCGCCTTTTTTTAAAAAAAAATCCCACATACCAAACATGAATTTAAATTCTTATTTTCAATGCCAATCATATTATCAATTCCATTCTCAATCCTATAAAATTCAATACTTTGTACTAAATAGGGCCTAAGTAGCCTTGATAAATTTTAAACATCAATAGCAGCACAGAAACGTTAGCATCCAACTTCTAAGTTGAGGCTTTCTATACAATTCATTAATATAGTGCCGTTTTATACCAGAAAAATGAAAAATGGCATTGAAGAGGGAAAGTGCAAAGCTATTAAATTATAAAGAGAAATCAAGAAAGGAAAAAAAATGATGGGGAGAGTTCTTACCTTTTCCAAATCTATTTCAAGGATGCTTGGGCGCCGTGGTTTTGGTTTGGGTTTTTTATTTCTTGATTGTAGATCAGATTGAGAAAGAGGTGAGTCCGGTATTGGTGGCAGAAATATAACGTTTCTGTTTTTTGTTTTTTTTGGGGGGGGTGGTATGGACTTCATGGCCAAAGCATTCGTAATTGGGCTGAAAAGAGAAACACACAAGTGCATCCATAAAACTTTGCCCAAGAGGAAATTGCATGTGAGGGACAATTGTTCAGCCCAAAATCTAAGTGTCTAAATATAATTCAATGTTCTATTGACAGAATTTTCTTTTAGAAGGCCCAAAATAAATGTACGGAAACTCAATTCATGTCCAGAGGCCTGAATTAATTTGTTCGAGTCCACTATGATTAAGGACGTTATTAAATTAATTGTCTAATAGTTTAGAAAATTCAATTAGTGGAGCATCTAGAATGTTTTTATCGTGGGAAGTGGCCTAAAAAATTGGTCAACGTTGTGGAGAAAGTGGGCACGACAACTGTAAAAGATGACTAGGAAGTGGGGAAGTAGGAGTAACCTCGTGTCATCGAAATGGAGCCACAAGTGAAGCACACAGTCAACAAACACATTCACATCAATCAGCGAACTGTATTTCATTTTTTCATGCTGCGGACATGTTTCTTTTCAGCCATGTTTTAACAACTCCTTGTCGTACAAGCTTTCTGTTCTCCACGATAAAAAACTTAAGTGTCAAAGACATGAAGCCTCAAAAAATGAATAAAAAATTCTCAAACTTTTTTACTTCAATTCATTCAAATGTAAATATGTAAAAAAAATTGATATAAATGATGTTTTTTTATTAATGAAGGGTAACATATAAAGTTGGAATGATTATAGCTTGTGAAATTAAAATCCCAAATCTAATTACAAAATACAAGGTAAATTGATTTGGAAAAAACAAATCTAAAATTATTTCTAGTATAGAATGTATGTATTTCGTTAGCTGAGCTCCATGTGCCTGAAATTGTTGTGCCTGAAGAATTTAGAGCCTGTATGCAAAATATCCATGATCATCAAGCACGGCCTCACAAGATTCATGGTAGGTCAGATAATGATCTCATGTCCACTCAACGATCTTCAACATTCAACCATTTCAAATCTTAAGAGTCATGCTAAGTACGTGCTCGGCACAACTTTTCCTAGAAATGAGCCAAGCCTTGTTTTTTTTTTTTTTTTTGAGTTTTAGTCTTCTTTTTTCGTGATTTTGGACTTAACATTTCATTTTATACTCAAACACATTTAATGTGAACAACTAATTTTATTTTTAGAAGTTGGGTTTATAAAATTTGAGGTTTATATACCCTAGCTTCAATTAGAGTTGGAAAAATGCACAGATCCGACCTTAAAAAGCCTAACTCTTATGAGATCGGCCCTTAAGGGCTTTAGCCTTAAAGTTCAATTCTTTATTTTTAACCTCATTTTTTAGCACGGCCCTTATATAAACGGCTCAGGACCGGGCCCACAAGCCCTGTTTTAATAAAAAAATAAAAATAAAATTAAATATCATAAATCAATTAAAATATTTTGAAACTAAAAAAAATCAAAATCATCATAGTTTTTAAAAATTAAATAATACACATTTAGAAGTCTAGTAATAAAATTTAA